TTCATTCTTTTCTTAACAAATTTGTATGTTGTTGTTAATCAATATGAATTATAATACATGTTTTCAATACATGTAAGAATAATAATTATAGTTATTGATTTTCTATATATAGAAATATTTTTAAATGTGTGTATAAAGGTATATAGCGTAATGTTTGATTTACAAATCTGTTTGACAGATGTGATTGTTCATTTGCTTGTTTGTCTTATAATTTTTCAATAAAATCGATTAAAAATTTTTAGATACATTTATTATTATTATTATTGTAAAAATTTTAAAATAATAAAATTTTGGTTTTGAATAAATTGAGAGATTCTTATTTTTTAATAAATTTTCGAATAAGTTTAGGTGCACTGCACTGAACATTTAATATAAAGCGATAGAAATTATAAGGTTATGACAATGACAAATATACATGGTTATAAAATATAATTATTATTAAAAATATAATACGAATTTATATGCCTAAAAAAACAATATCGTCCTTCCATTTAGTTCATTGAATATTTTATTATAATAGTTCAAATAAACTGATATATTTTAAGATTATATTTCAAAGTTCTTAAACTTATTATAGCATTACAGTTTTTGCCTATTTTACAGAGTTTTGAGCATTTGAATTGCAAATTAAACTGCTCAAATAACAATTTTTTTCGGAAATATTATATTTTCATAATTGGCATTATAGAATGTAGGCAATTTTCTCATTTGAATTTTTTAGTAAATGCAGAATATTAACAGATTTTAAATATGTTTGATTTAAATCAATGGTCCCTTTTCTTTTGAAATTAATTTTTTTTTATTTATGAGTAGCCCTCAAAAAGTTGTAATTTTATTTATCATTCATATAAATTTACTTGCCTATGTATAAATGTTTTGTATCAATTCTTTATAATAATAACTTCTTAAATTCATGTTGTAATTACAAACCACTAAAAGAATTATAGGTATTTGTTTTATTTCTGAAATGCTTATTAATTGTTAATAGTTTTTGAAAGTATGATTTCCATATTTGAGTCTTCTTGATCATTTCTGTAAAAACAGTGTAATATGATCTAAAATGATCCAGTATTGTAATTGTTCTAATTTTCATCTTCATAAAACTTGAATTTTTTTCATGAATATTATAATTTTCTTGCAATATTCTTTGTCCATTGTTTGTACGTTCTTATCTTCCTTACCTCTTCGGTCAACATTCTAAAACAATAATTAATAATTTAGAAAAAATTAAAATCTAAAATAAAATATTTTAATATTAAAAACAGAAGAAAACTGAAAGAAAACTGAAAACAAAAGAAAATTATAATAAAAAAAAAAACAAACAAAACAATTAAATCTTTTTTTTTAAACTTTTCTTTTATTTTTAATTAATAAATTTTGTAAAATATTGAAAAAAAAAATTAAAAATAAAAAAAAAAACTCATTAAATCACTTAAACTTTTAAGCTCGTTCTTACAACATTCATAATTTCATTTTTAATTTTTTTTTCTAATATACTCTTAACCACTAAAAATTAATTCTTAAAAATTAATTCTTTTCTCTTGTTTTAACATTAAAAATTGAAATTATATTTGTTTTTTAAACTTAACTAAAAATTATTTATTTCCTACTTTTTTTTTTAAATTTACTTTATTATTTGAAACATAATTTGGTTTTTTATTTTTTTTTTTTATATTTACTGGTTGATATTTGAAAAAATAAATCATAAAGACAAAAATCAAGAATTTTAAATTAGCCGCGACAGTTTTTCATTTTTTTATTTTTAGACATGGTTGAGATTAAAAAAAAAATTACATACTCAAAAAAAAAAAAAAAAGTAAGAAAATAAGCTGCCTTAAAATAAATACAAATTAAAATTAAACATTATGAAATTTCAAAAATACAATTATTTTTATATATATATAATATAGATATGCATAAAGGTGCAGTAATTAAATAATAATTATTAAGAAGATAAAAAATATATTTAATGTATATTAACTATAAGAGAATAATAAAAATACAAAAATAAAAAGATATTTTTTTTTTTTAAAATTAAACAATATTTGAATTATTTAAATACAAAAGTAAATTATATTTATGTATACTAATTAAATAAAATTATATTAACTGGATAATTTTAAATTTTATTTTATAAAAAATAAATTTTTCTTACTGGATAATAAAATATTGTTTGTATTAAACTTCAAGTAGATTTGATCGTTTGTAAGGTTTCCTTTTTCTAAGCATTACAATCTGATTTAAAATAAATTAAAATATGCTTAATAAAAGTAAGATACACATTTTAATAATATTAAAGATCTAGTTGTAAACTTAACATTATAAATCCAGTTAATATTAAATCGTTGTTTAGATTTTGTAAAACGTTTTCAATAACTTAATCATATTATAAATTATTAATAAATATTACGATTGAACAGAAATTTTCATTAATATTTGTATTTTTATTTATAGTTGAATATATTTTTATGATTCAAAATTTTTAAATTTCGAAATTTTAGTTAATATAATCGAAAAATATAAGAATATTAAAAATAATATTGAAAAGTTGCTTGCTTCAATTATATTTTATAATAATTTTGATTTTTAATGAAAACAATAAATTTTGGAGAGATTATAATTATAATATTTTTAAAAAATTATTTGAAATACATAAAAATTTTAAATATTTAACAAGATTTTATTTGTTATTTTAACGAAACTTCATATTACAATTAAAAACATTTTAAAGTAAAATTGACGACATAAATTGAATAAGAACAAAACACAAAAGTAGCTTGAATTAATAACGAAAACAGAAATTTATAATAAAATTACGATTAATAGGCATTTAATAAATTCAATCATTTTTTTTTTACTAACAAAGAAAAACAATAACGAAATTTAATATAAAGTAGTTGTAATCAAATATTTGTTTTTATTTTAAAAAAATTGAGATTTAAGAAATGAAGATTCTTATTTTTTATTTGTTAAATGTTTTACAAAAAAAAAATATATATTTGTTCGATTTAGGAATATTTATTGCATTTTGATTAATATGATTTTCTATTTTTTATATGTTTTATAATTCATTTCTATTAATTTATTATTTAAAATTAGTTTTTATTAAAATAACATTTTGTTCGTTTACAAATTTTTCATTGCTTTGTTTTTTTTTTACTTAGAAATCTAAAACAATTAAGAATAATTTTTGATATTCAATTGTTAAATGTTACTTAACAATTAAATTAAATCAAAAAAAAAAAGAAAGAAATTGATTAAAAGTAAGAAAAAAAAACCGTTTATATAAGAATGTATAATATATTATATAAGTAGATATTATATTTTACTGTTATATAATAAAAAAAAATTATAAGGAATAGAAATACATGATAAAAATTATATTCAAACAAATAAATTATAACTAAGAATAGCAATAAATCATTTAAAATTAATTAAATCATTATTTTATCATTGTCTATATATATATTTATAATATATATATATTTATGCATTCATATGTTTGATTATAAGTAAATAATTACGTATTAAAAAAATTTATAAATGGTGTATAATAAATTTTTATTTTTAATTTATTTATTTGAAAGTAGAAATTATGCATAACATTACTGAATAAAATTTAAAAATATAAAAGTGTATGTGTAAAAAAATATAAGATATATATATAAATATATATATATATATTATGATTTAATATAATAATAATATTTTCTCTCAATCTAAATTTATTATATTAATGTTTAAAATAATTTTCGTAATACTTTGATCAATTTTTATAGTTAATTAATAAATTTTATCGAAAATTTTTTTGTTTTTAAGATTCAAAAAAAAAATTCTTTTTTTTTTTTTTTTGTTTTCTTTTATATTTTTAATATTAATTATGAAGGATAATATTAATATACATTTATATATATAATTGTATATATATATATGTATAATTATGTATATATAGATTGTTCTAGCTTAGATACCATTAATTAATAAAAAAAAAAAAAAATCAGTAATAAAAATGTAAAATTTTTTTAGGTTTTTTTTTTCAACTTTAAGAATTTTTTTATGTAATTTTTTTTTTAATTTTTTTTTTAATATTATAGTTTTGTTATAGTTATACTTAAAAGCAAAATCTGGGATTCTTATTATTATTTAATTAAAAATTATGTGTGTTTTTTTTTTTTGCAAAAATAACTTTGATTATGCAATTAATAAAAGTTTTCTTTGAAATATTTTTTGTTTATTGTTTTTTCTATAGATATATTATATTTTTTTTTTGTTTTTATTAATTCATCGTAGTAATAGTTATGTTGAATATTACATTTACATACATATTAATATTTTATACACATAATATAAAATATTTATAAATAAATATTATATAAATTAAATTTACTCTTTAATGGCGAGCACACAATTTCCCTTTTTCTATATATATATATATATATATAATATATGTATAAATATAATAATATGCATGTAACTATATTATAATTATTATAATATGTATAATAAAGAGAAGAAACCTACAGCAAAAAACTGTTTATTTATTTATTTATATATATATATATATTTTTTGTGTTTGTTTTGTTAAATACGAAGTTCTCCGAAAAATAGAAATTTAATATTCGAAATTAATTATTTCGAAATACGAAATATATGTATTTTATATATATATATATATATGTATATATAATTAATTTATAACTTATATTAAATAATAATTTTTAATTATATACTTGCAATATTATTATTTATATTTTATTGAGATTTTCATTTTATATATATTTTCACTGTTTGCTCAATTATACAATATATAATAAATGTACTTATGTTTAATTAGTTGATAATTAATTTATTAATGATGTTTATATAAATATAAATAAGAGATATAATATTTCATATATAAAAATTTAATAGTATTGCAATTTTAAAATATTAAGTGTTTGTTCTTTCCTTTGAAAAATGAGAAAAATTATGAAAAATGAAACTTAATATTTTTTATATTCCTTTTAAATTAAATAATATTTAATAAATAATAATTTATTGAATTAATATGAAATATTATATATTTGTATTTATATCTTATGTATTTAGAAAAGAGAAAACATAGAATTTTTTGTATGTGAAAATATTGTTTTCGATGGGTTGTTTATTCTTTTGTTTCTTGTTCCTTTTGTTTTGTTTTGTGATTTGTTTTTGTTTTTTTTTTGAATTTGAAGTTTTTATATATTGCATTGTTGTTCTATACATTCGAGTTTTATTATTATAGGTTTTCTTTTTTGTTTAATATTTTAAATCTTTAGAAATTTTTCTTTTATATTAATTATTTAAATAATGTAAGGGTGTATATAATTATTCTAAAAAGTTTTTGCTGTTTATTTGTTTTTTTTAGTGACTTTTATAGGTTCAATTAATATTTGATTTTTATAATAATTAATTTCTTGTTACAAATCATTTATTTGTTTTGTTTTTGTTTTTAATATGTTGTTATTTTTAATACATATTTATATGTATATACCTATAGTTTCTTTTTTACATTTGTTTTATGTATATATATATATATATATGAATATATTTTAAAACATGTTACTTTTTTTTTTCTTCAAAATTTGTAAAAATTATCAAAAAATTATCAGTTTCTTTAAATTTATTTTTATTTTATTTTAATTGTTTTTTAAAAAAAAAAAAAGTCAATTTCTTATTATAAATTGCATTTATAAATTTTTCAGTTATTAATAATTGTGTGTGTGGTTTATGTTATTTTTAAATTTAATAAAATTATTTTGTGACGTAAAATGAGAATGTATACATATAGATATATTTTAATTTTGTTTTATTTATTTATTTTACATATTTTTAATTTTTGTTTACCGTTTCAATTTACCATTTTATATACGTTCATCTATAATCTAAATCTCTTTTGTATGAGTTTTTTCTTCTAATTTTTTTCTTTAATATTCTCAACTCTCTTGAGTTTAATTTTAAGTTGTTAAGTTGTATTTATATTTTGTTTATGTGTTCTTTGCTTTTTCTTAATTTTTTTTCAATTACATTTGTTCATGATTTTATAACTTTTTTGTTCAATTTTTACAGTATTTTCATTTCTTTTAAATAACAATTTTTGTTTTTTGAGTCATAATTATAAATTCAAAATTTTTGTTTTTTTTAAATTCCAAAAATTTATATATACATATATACATGTATATACGTATGTATGTATAAATATTGCGTGTAAAACGAATATCAATGTGTGTGTTAGTTATTTTTGTTTCCCAATTTTATAATTGATTAATTTTGATTGTGTTCGTGTGTGTGTTGATCCACAATAATCATTTCATGCTTTTGTATTCTTAATATACGACCTATAAATTTTAGATTATTTTATCACTCTTAATTTTTTTTTTTAATAAGATTAAAAATTACATAATTTTAAATATGGGATTGTTCTCACTTTATTTTGATATTTTAAACCGACAATAAAAAGTTCCTCTATATATATATATATATACATATATGTATGTTTTTATATAAGTATGCATATATCAATATAATTAATTTGAAAAATAAAAGAACAAAAATTGTTTTACATTTCTTTTTTTTTTAACAATTTGATTAAAAATAGAAGAAGGTTAATTTTGAGATTTTTACGGTAAATTTTAGTTTTTTTAATTTTTCTATTTATAAAATAGTATTTTACTTTCCTTTTTTCACTTCTATTTTACTTGAGTTTTTTTTTTGTTTTTTGTTTTTTACTTTTAAATTAATATTCTTCTTTTTTTTCTTCTATATGTTTGAATTCTTAATTTGTAGTGTGTTTTCTTAAATTTTAAATCGCTAATAAAATGTCCTTAGTAAAATATATCCTTAAATATTTGATTTTGAGAAACTAACTCGTAAATGATTTGATTCGGATAGTTGATGATTGTGCATTTTAATTAGTGCTAAAACAGCTTCGTCCACGGATACTAATTGAAGTAAAGCCATTTTACGATCTTTTCTGCAATTGAAAATAAAAAAAAAAACATTAGCATAAGTATAAAATGATATAAAAATTACAATATTGGGGTTTTATTCTGGCAGTCACTTAAATATGACAGCAAACTCACTTGAATGTCATGTTTCTGTTATATAATTCATCAAATCGAGTAATTTGGCTTGCATGTACTTAATCTTAATATATTGATTTTTATATAAAAATTGCGTTCTTGTCAAAATTGTGGTGAGTGCGTTTAAGTGCAGAAATTAAATATTTTGTCAAAAAAATTATGAATTTGGATTGGACTATAAAGTGAATTCAAAAATTTTGTAATAGTATGAAATCTTAAAACCAGGACTTGGCTTCCCTGTCAAAAAAATTGTTCTCAAAAGAGAGAATTGCGTTATATATAAAGAAGTCATTATAACAGGGATTATTCTGTTCATGAGAAATTTGTATATCACATGTCCTTTACATATATGTATTTAAAAAAGGTATATTAAATATAAAACTTTATTTACACAGTTATTTGTAATATAGATTTGGTGTTTATGGTTATAAAATCTAAAATTTTCACATGTAATTAAGATCAAATAGAATTAAAATAAAAAATACTTACGGGAAGAATTTAAAGCCTTTCACTTCAAAACCATTTTTTGTAAAAGCTTCTTTGATATCTTCCTCAGTACATGATCCTCTGTAAATAGAATGAAAAATAATTAAAATTATTATTTAATATTAAGAAATTTTTAAGATATTTGTAGCAATATTGCAAAAAAAGTGCTTATTAGTTAATCCCTGGATACAAGAGCAATTTGTTCGTCCGTCCATTATAGTCTGTTTACGAAACTCGTAAACGTTTTAAAATAAAAAGAAAAAATTTAAAAGTAGTGTAATTTCAAAACTTATCCCTAATAACTCAATTTGCTTCAAGCTCATTTTGTCTAAACAGCTAAATAATTTTGAAATTCCATAAATGTAGAAAAAATTCGATTTAGTTTTTTTAAGGAGAAATCTAATTAAGATAACCATGATTCTTAAAATTAACCATCATCTCAAATTTTTTTGCGACATGGTTTAGAAAATTTTTATTTACTTGCTTCCCCTACTAATATATCACGTTGTAGAATAAAAATTGATAAAGTTTCTGTATAAACAACTTATATCTTACAAACTGTACTATCATTTACATTTTTCTCAAATAAATTTTCGGAAAATTATGTATACTTATGCAGCATTAATGTTATATTTTCAAAATTTGTAAGATTCTGTACTCTTTGAGATATTGCAAGAAAGAATTTGAGCTCTCTAATTCTTTAATAGAATATAATTATTAAATTTTATTAAAAAATTCTGAATGATTAACATTATTATTAACTGTTATTTGTGTTATGTACCGAGTTTTATTTTATGTATCCCAAAAATCCTCTTTTATTCCTTTTTCTTTATATTATGTAAGGGAAAAGCTAATGTCACAAAAAATACCATTAAATGCAAAAAGTTTAGTGCATTTGAGTTGTCTAATTTTTAAATTTTACTATTGGAACTTGGCAAAATGTTAACTAAAATCGCGAAATAACAAAAAAAGTAGAACTGTTTGACTGATAAGTCATAAGTACAAACCAATCAATTTCACTGTTTTTTTTTTGTTTTTTCATACCTAAAGTAAGGACGAGTACATCGATAATTTTTGTAGCATAGACAAGACTAGCAAACTTTTGTTTGTGCTACTAACAGCCAATGAGTTTTTCTCGGTTTATTTTTCAATTCTTTTTATATTTTAATTTATATTTGCATAATAGTTGACGGGAATGAAGCTTTAATATAAAATATAATTTTTTGTATATCTAACAAATAGAGTGAAACATGTTTGCATTTCTTTTATGATAAAGCAAATATTTAAAATAATTTTCTTGAAAACCCTTTGCTCTTCATAATTCTATATTTTCTATTTTATATTTTTATAAAGTTTTCCCTATTTCCTTCGTGAATTTTTTTTTTATGTAGAGTTATTATTATGTATGCATTGTCATAAACTGTAACAAAAAGAAATTTTATAATAATTGTTTTCGAAAGACCTTTAACTAGTTAAAATGTTAAGGATAATACGTAAAATACACATTTTATACAAAATAAACAGAGTAGATTACAACGTATAGAAAAAAAAATTTAAAATATCCAATTTGAAAAATTATTATTGCATTAATAATCAAGAATGTTTTATTAACGTTAACCAATATAATTCTGTTATTAGTAAAAATTACCGATAATTTTAAAAAATTGCTATTGAAATTTATCAAAAATTCATAAGTTAGAATGTTTTAAAATATCAACTTCATTTGGCCTTACAATTTATATTTATTAATTTATTGAAACTTGATGTATGAACCCATTTAAAAAAAGCATTGTTAGATTTATCAACCCTTGTCTATAATTATGTGAAAATTCCAATTTATTGATATTATTTAAAATCGTCGATTAGCAAATTACATATTGTTAATTTGAATATTAAATCACATTCGCGTAAATACTGTTTAACAAGCAAAATTAAATAAACAGGAAGGACTAGATAATAAATTGAAATTCTACATTATTAAATTGTGAAATATTATAAATGTTTAAATTATTAAATATAAAATAATAAAAAAATATATTTTAACTATTCGTGCGGGACTTGCATATTCAAGTTTTTTTAAATCTTCAATTCCAATAGCGACTTCAACCCCATTTAATTGAATCGACCAAATTTATTTTTTTGTTGTTTTGTGTTTTAATCAGAAATAAGCTCCTCAAATTCCTAACTGGGCATATATTATTTTGAAAAGTTGTTGTTTTCTTTAACGTCCTATACTTTTTTAAAATCAAAGAATATGTACAGTTTTGGTTCTATTATTATAATTAGATTAATTTAAATATTAAACAAATTTTAAATTTTCTTAAAATACATCAAAATCTTTAAATAAATAAAAATAACCTTATATTTTGCTTGAATAATTAAATGATAAAATAGCTATTGCTGAAATTCATAGGTCATATCGTATATTAAAGGTTATTGCTAATAAATTAAATGGTCAAATGAATCATAATTCAAGACTTTATTATATTTAATTTGTAATATAAAATGAACAAAATTCAATAGGAGGCCAATAGGAATTCTTCGAAATACTTATATCAAGATCATTTACCAATCTTTTATATTCATTTGAAAATCCATTTCATATTTCATTCATAAATATGGTCTTCTTTATGATATATTGAAGAGAATTGAAATACATACCATAATTTTCCTACTTTAAATAATTCCTTATTCATTTTGATCTCTTTATAATTCACCTTTTATATTATTAATCATTCTATTTTTCTATTGAATACCACCTATTCAAAATCAATACTAGTCCATCATGTTTATATAAAAATAAGGAAAACCGCCTTTACATTAGGATTTTTTTTAAATGTACAAGGTATGTTCATGTGTATGTGTGTATATATTTTTAAATATTATTAATGTATTGGTGTATCTTAGTATATCTTTGAGTAATATATGTGTATTGGTATATTTATATATTTTTGTACTTATTCAGAAAATAAAATCCATATTTTTTCTTCCTTTATTAAATTGTGCTATTATTGAATTACAAAAAAAAAAAAAAAAAAACTTGAATGGTTTCTATTTTCTATTCTACTTTGGTACTATTAATTTTGTATTCATAACGATAATAATAAATTTATAACAGGAATATAATAAAATATAAAGAAGAGGAAACTGTAAGTAAAAAGGTGGCATTTTCAATCAATGCTGATATTGTCTAATATCATTGTAATGCAAGATAAAAAAAAAAACTGCTAGATAATATTACATACCATTAAGTGCTTTTCACAATTTAAATTAAAAAACAAAGCAGTACACTTATAGGGTACCTCCTATATTATATTATATAATAGGTATAATTCCGTTGATTATTTCTAATTAATTTGTGTAAAATTTTGAAAATTTTGTAAAATTGCGAAAGTACCTTGATAAACACTCTATCAGATTTTATTGCTATTTTGTCGCAAACTTTGAAGGAACCAAGTAATTACAAGAAGGCGAACTGATAAGGTCACTCTAATTTAGCATATACAGGAAAAATGCAATACGTATTGAACACTAACGTTAAAAATAGAAATATTAAATAGCCCCTTTTATATTTCGTTGCACAGAAAAAGCCAAAAAATTTCTACTGCAATGTTAACATGACAGCGATCACATAATATGTACATTGAATGTTATTATGGTTCCAGCATTTAAATAATCATTGCTGAGATCAAAATAATAAAATTTTAAGAATGAGAAAAATTCTAACTCCCGCTAAGTTTTGAATGTTATTTTGCTTTTCATTTTTATTTATGTTGCTACAATGCTACATATATAATATTAGTATAACTATGTACTCGTACATACAAAGAGGAAAAAGTGTGTATAGACAAGAAAAATTGGAGATATCCAGATTGTAGGAGAGAAAGAAATGAGTATAAAATTTAATATTTTTCAGTAGAATTTTCAATTTCTTCTGAATTAAAGAGTTTTAATTGTGTTGTATTAAAAATAAATTTGAAAATATTTTCAAAAATAAGAGTATGAAGAAAATGCAATTGCTTTATTATCCTGAATTTGAAATTTATAAAAAAAAATTTTGTTCATTTTTTTCACAATTAATTTAATCTTCAGCGCAGCAGGATTACAGACAAAAAGAACGACAGCGAAAAAATGTTTATTATTCTTTTCAGTTCTTTCTAAATTTTCATTTTTGTAAACACCATCAGATTACTTGAGGAAAACTATAACAACAGAGAAAAAATGTGAATAATTGTTTTTTAAGATTTCAATCAGATTTATTATTCTTGGTAACCAGTCTTTCGGAATCAAGGAATTTTTTACTTAAGTTGAAATTTTTTTTAAGTTTTCTGCCAAATTCCCAATTTTTTAATAAACTGTTAGAAAACAACAAATCAAGGAATGTCAATGTAAAATATCTGAAATGGGTAAAGAAAACTTACGAGTACTACGCTTATGTTATGAAGATCAAATGACAAATTGATGAATATTTGTTAATGAGTGTGTAACTAAGAAATTATTAAGAATTTTGTTCTGATAAAGTGCGTTTCCTCGTAAAGAGCTTTTGTGTAGAAATTTTTATTTTGAACATCGATTTAAGCTAAGCATGATTTCTGGAGACAAATTTTAATAAGCATTACTTTTTCTGTAAATTTTAAACGATATGTTACTACAGTTCCAGAAAACAAAATTTTTCTTTTTTAAATTTATTTTCAATTCTGCAGCTTATTGATTCTCAAATAATTTTAGTTGAAGTAAGACTATTCCAGTTTAAAAGAAACTTCAACTAACTTGACAAAAATTAATCAAATTTTTTTACCTTTTGACAACGATTATTGGAAGCACGCTATGCAATACGAGTATGTGTACAATATGTAAAAAAATACTTGTATGAAGATATTAACATATTTAAAATTGTTTAATTGTATATGAGTTTGTACTTACGGAATGTTACTTAAATGCAGTGTTGCCGATGGTGGATAAATGTTTTGATAGTTTTTACTTCCGGGTTTTTTAAATCGATGCAATGGATTTTGTGAATAATCACGTGTTAAACCAGCATCCGGTTGTCCTTCTTTTGGCAATTGTACAGCTTGATGTTTGCTTGGCATTACACGTATTGATTTACCCCATAAACGTATTTTGTCCAAATGATTCATTGCTAAAAACAAAAGAAAAATTAAAAATATTTTTAAAATTTCAGTAAACAAGTAATTATTTGTATAATAATCTTTTTCAAAACCTATTAGAGTTGTTGAAACTAGTATTTTACGAGTTTATTAAAGAGACGCAGGATTTTATTCAAAATTTTTTTGAATATAAACAATATACTAATTGGGCCCATGAAATGCCCAATTTAGTAAAACTAAAGAGGGTTTATTTTAAGAAAATGCAGAAAATACGAGACTACCACACGTAGCAGTTAATATCTCGGAATATGTTATGATGGGGTTACAGAAGTGCCTTACATATTCGAGTCACTTGCATATTCAAATTTGAAAAGGTTTTCAATTTACAATATAAAATATAAATTTTTCTGGCTTACAATATGGAAAATGAAACTGTAGGAAAATTTTAAGAATTAAAACATTAGTGGAAGGCATAACGATGTTACGTGCTAATTACAATTAATTATTTATTATGAAGTTAATCATTAATGCCATGTTGCATACTTTTAGGGGATATTCATATAATATGTATTCATTTTTTCTATAATGCGAAGCAAAAATATAATGGCATTATAAAAATAACATTACTTTTGACTTTCAAATTTTTACAATATACTTAACGGCTGTTGTCACAAAATGGTACTAAGACTTAGAAGTTGCAATTCAAATTGAAGGAGAGTTGACATTATTTTTTAGGAAAATAAATATCTTATTAAGTTCATTACTTTTAAATAATTTTTCAGAGAATTTTTCAATCTTTGCTAAAAAATATTCGTTAACGATCCAATTCGATCCAATTTGAAAAGATTATTTTCGAAACAATTATGATATTTTGTTAAAAATAGAAATAATTTTAAATAATTTGTGAGAAATCCAAAAAAAAAAAAAAATAAAGTATCGCATTTAGTACACATTAGTTCCTATAGCGATAAGTTTTGTGATTGGCATCTGTGTTTAAAATTATACATATTTATCTACTTAAAATAAAAAAAGAAATTGAAGAGAGAAACATTAATTCTTTAAGAGTTTGTCTCGTCCTTTTAACAAATTATCATTTTAGTTTGCATTCATTTCTTTATTATCTTATTATGAAACCTTTTCGACTTTTCATTTTTTTTTGCTTCTTCTTTGTTTTTGTTCTCAAATTTACTTTTTAATAATATAACGTATATGGGGAAATATTGAAAAAGGACATTCATTTTTCTTTTTTCGAGTACTTTTCTAGATTTATACCTTTGCGTATATACTTAGATCTAAACACATAATATGTTACTAAGTTTGCAAACATACATTTCGATATTTACGCAATACGTAATATTTTACCGTTTTTCGTTTTTTTTTTTTTCTGCCCATTATTTACTTATATGTCAATTTAAGTTATACACACATGTTAACTCACACACGTACAATTATTGTAATTTGTAATATTTATTTTTTTTTCTTCTAGTTTCTATTTTTTATGATGATTTTCTTATATAGACATTTGAAAGGAAAAAATGAAAAAAAAGAAAATATATGTATTGTAAGAAGAAGAAAAAAAAAACAATATTTATTTCGTAAATATTTTATTAGGCTGAAGTATCCTTAAAAACAAGAAAAGAAAAAAACAAAATGAATAAAAATGGCCAATATATGGGAGAAAAAAATAAAAACAAATTCAAACTTATGGGTGAGAAATTTGAAAAAATCAAGACACTAAAAGGATATTCAAAATAAATAAAGGTTTTCTTTTGTCTTTCTACCTTTACCGATAAGCCAAATGAAAAATAATAGAAATGAAATGCTATAAAAAGCAGTTAAAAGCCCGGTAGAGGGACGAACATGAAAATTTTTAAGATGAATGTCTAACAATTTAGTATAAGAAAGAGGGCCAAAAAATTAATAAAACAAAAATTAATAAAAAAAAAAATTGAAATTTTTCCTTTACATTCGGTTTTTTTTTGTTTCGGACTTAAGTTTGTCTACCTACGGGAATATTCCTTTACTTTTTAATACAAGACAAATTCGGAAAATATTTAACAAAAAATTTTAAAATATCAAATTTGAATTCTTTCAACAAACAGAAGCGACGAAAATAAGTTTTTCATATAGATTTATCAAACAATTAATAGAAAATTTTTAAGTACATTTTAGTTAAATGTAATTATAGTATATAAAAATTTATTGAATAAAATTTCAATAAATTATATTGGAGAACAAGATGAACAGTTTGGAGAATTCTTTCAATCATTTGAAACATATTATGCGACGTCACACAAAGACCATTCTTGAAAGAGTAGTCTTGTGAAAACCCTCCAAAAATTATGCCTATAAATTACTTCTAATTTATTTATTTTATAATGTATGAAATTTGCATACTTTTCCCATGTTTTTTACACACATTTAACACATTTTACTATAGAGGATAGTAAAATGTTATATGAGCATCGTAGCGCATCGAAAAAACAAAAAAACAAATAACAGAAATTTTCAAGAAATTTCGAATTTTTTAAAACAAAATTCTAAAAAAAAACAAAAAATTCTTGTTTTGACTAGATCTATCTGGAAAAATAAAAAAAGCTATGCCCAAAAATAAAGAACAATCGATTGGCTAATACAATAATAATGCATAGTACAATTACAATTTTTTGAGTCTTATATTTCTGAAACTGAAAAGTTTTTTCTTCTATAAAAGCAAAAAGCTAATCAAAAAATATAATTATTTACATTAACTCACTTGAATTCTAAAGAAACTGTTGAATTCTATTACTATGTTGAGGATTCTTTTGACTTTTTTCTAGAAATATTTCACTTATGCAAGGAGAAGTTGCTGTTTTACAAACCACTGATTTGAACTTATTTATTATTCGAAAATTCAAGTGTTTGCTTTGAAAACGATTTATGCTAAAGAGTGTTAACATTATGTATCGTCAATTTGGCCTTACTTCCAATACAAAATATATTGAACAAGTAAAGCAAGAATGTCTTGATGAATTTTTAAAAATATTAGTCAAACTCTTTCCCCCTTTTTGAAATCATTAAAATAAATTATTATTAACAAACAGAAAAGCAACATCCTTTATTTAAATTTGGTTTTATTTGCTGATTATTAAATTAATCCTAAAATATTTAATCAAAAAGAAATTAAAAGGAAATAACGAAATAGGGATTTTGGAAATAACTGAAATATGGAAAAAACAATGTGCAATAATTTTAATTAACCTTAAAAGTGTAAACAAAATGTGGAAAAATGTTACGATATTTTTATAATTTTTTTAACAAAACAAACATTATTACGGTTATTTAGTCTCATTTTGTTTTTATTTCACAATATTTATGTTTTTATGCAAAATTTTCACATAACGAAATCGCCCTTGGGTCCTATATTTTATTTTCATATTATTTTTTCAAAGAGAATGTATTGCAACACCGTTTAGAATAGGCTTCCGACATACCGAAATCTAATTGAAAAGATTACAAAAAATTTTAATTTACAAAAAATTTTATGAGCTTTAAAAACGGATGATTTCAGAAGTTTTTTAGAAAGTTTTTGCTTAATTCCCAACTCTATATTATAATCCTGTCTTCTTATAGGAATTTATTTTGTTAACTCATATATCGTGAGGGCAATGTTGCAACTCGAAAATTTTATATTTCTAGATAATTAACCTAGGCGTCATAAAATCGAATGTTCTTTTATCTGCGACCAATATCTAAGCTTAAAAGTGTTCTTAAGTATCTGAAAATGATAATCTTCATGATAAATTATTTGTTATTTCTACATTTTGTCTAAACCAATAATTGCGAGTTATCTAGTTGGAATTAGTTTGAAATACCGATCGCAATCAGAAATTGTGTTTTGAAGTATGTGTAGTTTGTGACACAGAAAATAAATCGGAAGCGAAATTAAAAAATTGTTGTAAATATTTCAGAGTTAAAGAAGAAAAATTGTGGAGAACAATTGCAAATCATTTAGATTTCTTTACTTCTTTTTATTAAAAATTAGATTTAGAAGGGTTGTTCCCATTTGATACAATAGTAGGAGTTAATCCTTATTTGAACAATATTTAACTGTTATGAAATTTATGAAAACAGAAATGAAAACAAAAATTGCTCGCAAATTGGTTTAAAAATTCAGATTTTCATGTTTTTGCGTTAATTTTGTAATTTTATTTTCATCTTTTTATATTTCGTACAATTTTTTATCTATTCATGGATCTGTTTTTGTTTCGGTTCATTCCTTAGAATTCTTTAGATATTAGAACAACATAAGTACTTGGGGTAAATGAATGATTTCCAAATTTTTTGTATAATTATACGGAAGGTTAATATCACCATGTTTAGATTTCTTGATAAATTCGCTATTTACTTAAATACATTATGAAATGTTGAATAGAAAAAAGGGTATGGTTGAATAACTGGAAATTAAAATATAGTTGGGAACAAATGTTATACATTACGTATTTACAGTATAGTAGTGAAAAATGAAGTTAAAATTTATATTACCTTCAATTTCTTATTTTAGACATAAACCAATAAATATCGCCATTAGTTCCAAGTTGTAAATTGACACTTTTTGAAGCGCTGTGATAACCATGAGAGTCTTTGATTAAGTTTTTTTCAATGAAAACTCAATCATGTTGATAATTAAAGTGCCACAAAATTTGAGTTTTGAGTTTTACGTTTAGGAGAATACACGTTATGCGGACAACTTATTATTCCAACTCATTAAAATTTAAATAATATTATCAGAAAAACACGTACTCGAATTTAATATTCTGAATTAGTTGATGGTATAAAAAATATTAAATCAAAATCAAAAGGGATGTGTACTTGGCAAAAACAAAATTAGAATTATATAAGCATTCTGAATTCCGTCGGTGAAATTTTATTTGGAAAATTTGTTTTGCGAACAATTCAAAATTCAATACTTATTTTCAAAAAAAAAATTAACAAACTTTAAATATCTGAATTAGGGGTTATTAATAGCAATAATTTCTTTTGAAAAAATTTC